GTCGATGATTAGGATTTACAAGCGAAATCAATGACATATCAATAGCATAGTGATTTTTACAAAGCAGTAGACTGATCATTAACATAGGAATTCATTACAGGTAAATTCGGGGATGGATGGTTCCTAGATAAATAACAATTGTGAGTGTCATTACTTCGCCACACCGCGGTGCCGGTTTCATCCAAGTGCAATCCGTCCAAATAAAATAAGGGTTTAAGACACACTCTTCATTCGTGCACAAACGTCAGTGGAAAAGAAAACCAGCAGGCACATTTCACCACCACCAAACAAAACAGAGACTAAGTTTAAAAAGAAACATTATAGCCACACTTATGAAAAGAGGTGATCTATAAAGTCAAAGGGAGTCTTATGTCTGTCGGTAAACCTCAAAAGTTACTCCAAGTCATATTACGGAGTATGGACTCAGTAAGGCATATAGATAGAAAATTCTCGAGTGGGAGGAGTGGGCAAGTTGTAAAAGAGTTTCCCTTAGTTTAATCCTGCAGGAAACAAAAAACACAGTGCCCATCCGGTTGCAGAGAGAGAGAGAGAGGTGGGGAGGGGGGGGGGGCAGAGGGAAAGAAGTAGGGAAGGGGGGAGACAGAGGGAGAGAGGCAGGCAATGAGAAGGGAATGGCAAATTGAATCAGGAAAGTCATTTTGGTGAGAGTTCAAGTGATTCATAATTCCACATTCATTTTCTCTCCTAAGGTACCTTATCTGCATTCCTCACTAGTAATGATCATAAGACTGGGACCGTCACATGCATTCATACAATCATGGTTCGGACACGAAATCCATCTTAAAACAATGAACAATGCTAATGGGCGAGTTCTAATTACAATCCACTCAGTACCAAGCTGCAATAGGACATTGTTCTTTAAAAGCAATTTGAGCCATTTATCAAGATGTGTTCCACACCCAAGAGATTCAGAACATCAGAGAATTTTAAATAAATATCTATATATATATCTATACTGGCTCTTGTGGCAATGTGAGGACACAAGGCATTTCCAAGAGAAGCCAGTTTTTGGCAACTGTGTATCTTTCTGTAATCATTTGGCATCTCTTCTACAGAGTGAGTTGCTCTTTTTCCTTGTGTTAGATATTCTATTGATAACTTCCCCAGCAAAGACCCATTTCCACGGACCAAATATGAATGAAAACATGTTGTGGTGTTCTGCATGTTATCAGTGTTCCCAGACCAATTTTGAGTTTTACAAACTAAAAGCCAACACCAAAAACCATCTTTAACATGCAGTAGGAATGAAAACATTATGGATTCATGAAGATAAAATCACTAGGAAACACTCTGCTGGTCTAGACGCACATTATACTTAACCAAAAATCCAGGAGGTTTTATAAAAAAATAAAAGCTGGGAGTCAGTCGGCCCCCAGCCTGTAGACTCCACACATCCAGACCACATGAATCATTCCTGTTGTCCAAGGACCCCACATGCGTGGTTCCCATGCCTGTCAATGGTGAGGGTGGAGTATTTACAAGCGTCTTATGTTACAGTCCAGTCTCCTCCTCTTCCACTCCTAGTCAATCCGAGGTGGGCTTCTTCAACGAGAAGGGGGAAATCTGAAAATGGCTGCTCAGCTGCTTCACCTACAGAAAATCAGAACAGGAGGCGGTGACGCACATGCACCTGCTTATTTCTAAAAGGTATACAGAAGTCCCCCTCTAGCAAATGTGATTGGCTGACATGCAAACATCTCTGAGAAATCAGGAAGAGGTTTTCTGGACTGGGAGGGTTATGTTAGAGCCAGACAACTCCAAACACTAGTCTTTCCAGTCCTCTCCACACTGCACAGAATCATATGCATGGCTCTGGAGAAAATGGTTTAAAAACAACAGTGCTTTTCTTGATGCACATGACCGATGAAGTATCGAAGGGTAAAGACCATGGATGTAAAGCATGTCACGTTAAATCTGACCAAAAATGAGTGATTATATCTTATAATTCATCTGAATTATGATACTTTGTTTCTTTTTACCATATAATTTCCATTACTTTGTTCAGCAAATGAGTTGCTTCGGGGAGAAACACTAAGGAAATAACGCCTAAGTTTAATAATTAACCTATGCAAGGTGGGAAGCCGTATCATGCATAAGAAATGCTCCACAGTTTAGAGCTCTGTACAAGAGTCCAGAAGCTCTTGCTACCTATGGAGGCCTTTGGACTCTGCACTGCCCCGCTGAGCCTCCTGGGCTTGAGTTGCTCATCCTGTGTGAAGGTCTGCTGGGGCCTGCAGGGCTGAGGGGGAGCTCTTTTTAGAGCAGTAGCCACGTGGTTGCCTTCTCCACAGGCTAGGCGAGGCCCGCTATCCCTGTACAGACACACCTATGCAGAGAGGGCCACTGAAAAGCCACTGGAGCCTCATCCTTAGACAAAGGTGCATTTCCTCACCTGCTTCTCCCCACATTTAAAACTTAAGTTTCCTAGTGCTACAGAGGCCTGGTGGTGAGTGGTTATGCACTGGGTCGTGATCGTATGGTGGGCAGTTCGAAACCACCAGCAGCTCTGCGGGAGAAAGACTGGGCTTTCTACTCCCGTAACCAGTTACAGGCTCAGAAATCCACAGGGGTCACTATGAGTCAGTATTGACTCGATGCTAGTGCTGCTACACGCACGTAAAGAGCGACAGTCTCAGACACTACCCTGTCCTGTAGGGGGTCCCTGTGAGTCCGAATCGACTCAGTGGCAATGAGTTTGAGTGACAGTATGACAAAGTTACCACAAGAGGTGGCTCTCAATGACAGACCTTGGTTTTCTTAGTTTCAAAACCACACTCACTGCCATCAAGTCAATTCCAACTCACAGCCACTCCGTAGGACAGAGCAAAACAGCCCTTGTGGGCTTTCGAGACTATAAATATCTCTCTCTCTCTCTCTCTCTCTTTACAAAATGTCAACAGCTTCATTGGCACATAGTTCGTATAGCACACAATTCACTGGTTTAACGGTGTTTTAATGCATTAAAGAGAAGTCTGCGATCATCAACTGTGAATACCCTTTTATAAATCCTATTTCTATTAAATTACCCTCAGAAATAAAATCAATAAAGGAAAATACTCTCCGGATTGCTCATTATTTATAATGGTGAAAATCCAGAAGCAACCTAATGATAAAAATAACTGGGTCATGATTATATGAAATTAGCTAATAATCTCTTTGGTGGTTTATTGCAAGGCAATTTTTTTTAAAAACCCAAAACTAGAATAGAATGTTAAGTGAGTGGGAGGGGGCTGGGGTCAAAAAAACTCAAAGGTTCTATTTTCATTTTATTATATCTATCTTATCCACTTTTTGTGAAATGAGGCTCTTATTTTAGAAGAGAATATTGAAATGTACAGGCTACTTATTAAATCCATCCTCTCCTGTATGCCCCCATATCTTGCTTACTGTGTTTGCTGTTGAGGGCTCAGGAATGGCACAAATCAAGTCCAGATGCAAGAGTTCTAACCTCCCTTTACTGTAGTGCTTTAGATTGGGGGGTGGGGAGGTCTACAAAACCAGTTTCTTTTCAATTTATGTTAATGAACCACATATAGGTCCCCAAAGCTAATTGAAGAAATAAGTAATTAACAAATGACATGATCTGTAACTGATATAGTTAACGTTTATTGTGCCAACCTGGCCGATAAACACATGTGGGGTTAATTGAAGGGCGGAGAGATAAATGGCTCAGTGAGCCCTGCCTTTCTAGTTCTCGGGTCTCTTGCTTTCTGATGGTCAGACCAGGGTACAGCTGCCTTAGTCAGTTCCCTGCTTCAACTGACAAGGCTCACTTCCTGCAAGACATCCCTGAGGAGAAGCTGCATGGACCTACCCCACTGCAGCCCTGAGTACTGGAGCACCCGTGTGGAGACCCCTGCCAGTGCTGAGATGTTCACACATTCACTGACGAGGCTTTCCTCCTGCAGTCAGCACCATTGCATCTGGTTTGTGAGCTGGAGGAGGACTTTGTGGTTTGGTGTTGGACATATGGGTTAATGCTGGACTTGTGGGTTTGGGCAGCACTGGG